TTTACATCAACAGGAGCAGCTCCTATACACAAAGACAAAGCTCCCCCAGGTAGCCTCTAGCAGGGCTGTAGGGGCAAGTGCTGAGACACAGACAAAGCTCCCCCAGGTAGCCTCTAGCAGGGCTGTAGGGGCATGTGCTGAGACACTGACAAAGCTCCCCCAGGAAGCCTCTAGCAGGGCTGTAGGGGCAAGTGCTGAGACACAGACAAAGCTCCCCCAGGTAGCCTCTAGCAGGGCTGTAGGGGCAAGTACTTAGACACAGACAAAGCTCCCCCAGGTAGCCTCTAGCAGGGCTGTAGGGCCAAGTGGTGAGACACAGACAAAGCTCCCCCAGGTAGCCTCTAGCAGGGCTGTAGGGGCAAGTGCTGAAACACAGATAAAGCTCCCCCAGGTAGCCTCTAGCAGGGCTGTAGGGGCAAGTGCTGAGACACAGACAAAGCTCCCCCAGGTAGCCTCTAGCAGGGCTGTAGGGGCAAGTGCTGAGACACAGATAAAGCTCCCCCAGGTAGCCTCTAGCAGGGCTGTAGGGGCAAGTGCTGAGACACAGACAAAGCTCCCCCAGGTAGCGTCTAGCAGGGCTGTAGGGGCAAGTGCTGAGACACAGACAAAGCTCCCCCAGGTAGCCTCTAGCAGGGCTGTAGGGGCAAGTGCTGAGACACAGATAAAGCTCCCCCAGGTAGCCTCTAGCAGGGCTGTAGGGGCAAGTGCTGAGACACAGACAAAGCTCCCCCAGGTAGCCTCTAGCAGGGCTGTAGGGGCAAGTGCTGAGACACAGACAAAGCTCCCCCAGGTAGCCTCTAGCAGGGCTGTAGGGGCAAGTGCTAAGACACAGATAAAGCTCCCCCAGGTAGCCTCTAGCAGGGCTGTAGGGGCAAGTGCTGAGACACAGACAAAGCTCCCCCAGGTAGCCTCTAGCAGGGCTGTAGGGGCAAGTGCTAAGACACAGATAAAGCTCCCCCAGGTAGCCTCTAGCAGGGCTGTAGGGGCAAGTGCTGAGACACAGATAAAGCTCGCCCTCTCATCCACTCACTCAACACACTCGAGTGAGTAGTTGAGTGGGTAGCTGAGTGGGTGAGTGAATGAGTGGGTGAGTGAGTGGCTGAGTGAGTGAGTGGGTGGTGAGTGTGTGGTGAGTAGGTGAGTGAGTAGGTCAGTGAGTGAGTAGGTGAGTGAGTGTGTGGGTAGGTCAGTGAGTGAGTGAGTGGGTAGGTCAGTGAGTGACTGTGTGAGTGAGTAGGTGAGTGAGTGAGTGGGTTAGTAGCTGAGTGGGTGAGTGAGTGGGTGAGTGAGTGAGTGGGTGAGTGAATAGGTGAGTAAGTAGCTGGGTGGGTGAGTGAGTGGGTGAGTGCTTAGGTGAGTGAGTGGGTGAGTGAGTGGGTTACTAGCTGAGTGGGTGAGTGAGTGGGTGAGTGAGTGGGTGAGTGAATAGGTGAGTGAGTAGCTGGGTGGGTGAGTGAGTGGGTGAGTGAGTAGGTGAGTGAGTGGGTGAGTGAGTGGGTTAGTAGCTGAGTGGGTGAGTGAGTGGGTGAGTGAGTGAGTGGGTGAGTGAATAGGTGAGTGAGTAGCTGGGTGGGTGAGTGAGTGGGTGAGTGGGTAGGTGAGTGAGTGGGTGAGTGAGTGGGTGAGTGAGTAGGTGAGTGAGTGGATGAGTGAGTGGGTTAGTAGCTGAGTGGGTGAGTGAGTGGGTGAGTGAGTGAGTGGGTGAGTGAATAGGTGAGTGAGTAGCTGGGTGGGTGAGTGAGTGGGTAGGTGAGTGAGTGGGTGAGTGAGTGGGTGAGTGAGTAGGTGAGTGAGTGGGTGAGTGAGTGGGTTAGTAGCTGAGTGGGTGAGTGAGTGGGTGAGTGAGTGGGTGAGTGAATAGGTGAGTGAGTAGCTGGGTGGGTGAGTGAGTGGGTGAGTGAGTAGGGGAGTGAGTGGGTGAGTGAGTGGGTAAGTGAGTGGGTAGGTCAGTGAGTGAGTAGGTGAGTGAGTGGGTTAGTAGCTGAGTGGGTGAGTGAGTGGGTGAGTGAGTAGGTGAGTGAGTGGGTGAGTGAGTGGGTGAGTGAGTAGGTGAGTGAGTGGGTGAGTGAGTGGGTGAGTGAGTAGCTGGGTGGGTGAGTGAGTGGGTGAGTGAGTAGGTGAGTGAATGGGTGAGTGGGTAGGTGAGTGGGTGGTGAGTGGGTGGTGAGTGAGTGGGTGGTGAGTGAGTGGGTGAGTGAGTAGGTGAGTGAGTGGGTGAGTGGGTAGGTGAGTGGGTGGTGAGTGGGTGGTGAGTGGGTGGTGAGAGAGTGGGTGAGTGAGTAGGTGAGTGAGTGGGTGAGTGGGTAGGTGAGTGGGTGGTGAGTGGGTGGTGAGTGGGTGGTGAATGTGTGAAATCCACATCAGCACCGAGAAAAGAGATACACAGATAAAGTCAAAGATCCCCCGTGTAGCCTGCTTAACCAGTTTTGGTCAAGTGCTTTCTTCAGATCATACAAACACAAAGATCACCATTGTTGTTTATTTACACACAGAGACAAAGCTCCCCCAGGTAGCCTCTAGCAGGGCTGTAGGGGCAAGTGCTGAGACACAGACAAAGCTCCCCCAGGTAGCCTCTAGCAGGGCTGTAGGGGCAAGTGCTGAGACACACACAAAGCTCCCCCAGGTAGCCTCCAGCAGGGCTGTAGGGGCAAGTGCTGAGACACAGACAAAGCTCCCCCAGGTAGCCTCTAGCAGGGCTGTAGGGGCAAGTGGTGAGACACAGACAAAGCTCCTCCAGGTAGCCTCTAGCAGGGCTGCAGGGGCAAGTGCTGAGACACAGAGACAAAGCTCCCCCAGGTAGCCTCTAGCAGGGCTGTAGGGGCAAGTGCTGAGACACAGACAAAGCTCCCCCAGGTAGCCTCTAGCAGGGCTGTAGGGGCAAGTGGTGAGACACAGACAAAGCTCCCCCAGGTAGCCTCTAGCAGGGCTGTAGGGGCAAGTGCTGAGACACAGACAAAGCTCCCCCCAGGTAGCCTCTAGCAGGGCTGTAGGGGCAAGTGCTGAGACAAAGCTCCCCCAGGTAGCCTCTAGCAGGGCTGTAGGGGCAAGTGCTGAGGCACAGACAAAGCTCCCCCAGGTGGCCTCTATCAGGGCTGTAGGGGCAAGGGCTGAGACAAAGACAAAGCTCCCCCAGGTAGCCTCCAGCGGGGCTGTAGGGGCAAGTGCTGATACACAGACAAAGCACCCCCAGGTAGCCTTTAGCAGGGCTGTAGGGGCAAGTGCCGAGACACAGACAAAGCTCCCCCAGGTAGCCTCTAGCAGTGCTGTAGGGGCAAGTGCCGAGACACAGACAAAGCTCCCCCAGGTAGCCTCTAGCAGGGCTCTATGGGCAAGTGCCGAGACACAGACAAAGCTCCCCCAGGTAGCCTCTAGCAGGCCTGCAGGGGCAGCTGCCGAGACACAGACAAAGCTCCCCCAGGTAGCCTCTAGCAGGGCTGTAGGGGCAAGTGCTGAGTACAAAGACAAAGCTAACCCAGGTGGCCTCTAGCAGGGCTGTAGGGGCAAGTGCTGAGACAAAGACAAAGCTCCCCCAGGTAGCCTCTAGCAGGGCTGCAGGGGCAAGTGCTGTGTTAGTAGCGAGTAGCAGCAGCGTCTATGAAGGCTACCGGCACTGTGGCTACACACAGAGGGGGTGGGTCGCCAGCACCACCACCACTCCCGGCCGCCTTTGTCTCTCCCCAGTGAACAACACGACTAACTCACCCACTCACCTTCCCACTCATCCACTCACTCACTCACCCACCCACCCACTCACCTACCCACTCATCCACTCACTCACCCACCCACTCACTCACCCACCCACTCACCCACCCACTCCCCACCAACTCATCCACTCACTCACCCACCCACTCATCCACTCACTCACTCACCCACCCACTCACCAACTCACCCACTCACCAACTCACCCACTCACTCACCCACTCACTCACCCGCCCACTCACTCGTCCCCTCACTCACCCACTCACCTACCCACTCACCCACTCACTCACCCACTCACCCACCCACTCATCCACTCACTCACTCACCCACCCACTCACCCACTCACTCTATGGGCCTCTATGTATCTCTATGGGCCTCTATGTATCTCTATGGGTCTCTATGTATCTCTATGGGTCTCTATGCATCTCTATGGGTATCTATGGGTCTCTGTGGGTCTCTGTGTATCTATATGGGTCTCTATGGGTCTCTATGGGTATCTATGGGTCTCTGTGGGTCTCTATCTATATGGGTCTCAATGTATCTCTATGGGTATCTATGGGTCTCTATGGGTCTCTGTGGGTGTCTTTGGTTCTCTATGTGACGTCACCATGCATGCGGTGGCCGCGCTCATGGTGACGTCATTGCACTCCCCTTGCGGCGCGTGACGTCATAATGGTCGAAGCCTCCCTTTGCCTCCTCCACCCCCGAATGACGTCATTCGATTGTGACGGTTTCCCGCCGCGGATGACGTCACACGGCCCAAAAACTGAACAGCGCGGCCCAGTTTCTGACGGTGGCGTTTCGTCAGATGACGTCACGCCGCCTAAACCAATCAGTGGCCCCGGTTCTGACTGTGGTGTTGCGACGGGGACGTCACTTCGCCCACAACCAATCAGTGCACCGGGTTGTAACGTTTGCCGCAGCGGATGACGTCACGCCTGCTAAGCCATTCAGGTGATCCGATTGTGACGGTTGAGTTGTGACGTCACGCCGAACAAACCCGCGAAGTTACTCGGTCAAACCGTGCGCGTTGACGTCACGCCTTTAAACCTCCACGAGGAAACGCAAAGGGCGACGTCACCACGCGGGCCGCCGGCGACGTCATCGCGCAGATCTTGCAACGTCACCGCGCCGCGACTGTGAACGTCGCCGACGTCACCACGCACACCCTCCGAGCCGACGTCCTTACGTCAACACGCACGCGCTCTCAGGGGCAGACGTCGCGGCTACGTCACCACGCACGCGCGCGCCGCCGGCGGCGGTCCGTCACCACGCACGGCCGCAGACGTCGCTGACGTCACCACGCGCGCCTGTCAGCCCCTCCCCCCTCCTCTCCCATTGAGAGGCGTTGACGCCACCCTTTGCCTCAGCAAATAATTTTATAAAATTTAAACAGCAGCAGCAGCAGCTTCTCCCGCGATGGCTTCCTACGATATCATCGCCAACCAGCCCGTGGTGATAGACAACGTGAGTTGTTGTTGGTGTTGTTGTTATTGATGTGAGCTTAACGGTCAACGCAAACATTGGAAAAAAATATTTTGTGGAGAGGGGCCTAGTCGGTTCTACGTGCAGCCTCGCTCTGGTCTAGAAGCCCCCTACCGGCGGGGGTGGCACCGGGGCCCGCAGAGAGGGAGGGGTGAGGAGGGGGGGGGTGTTAGGGTGGGGTCGTGGATTTGCTGCGACCTGGGGAATTTGTCTGCGATTTGGTTGCGGGTTTGTTGTTGTTGGTTGTGGTGGTGGTGGTGATGATTGTGGTGATGATTGTAGTGGTGATTGTGGTGGTGGTGATGATGGTTGTGGTGATGGTTGTGGTGGTAGTGGTGATGATTGTGGTGGTGGTGATGATTGTGGTGGTGGTGATGATTGTGGTGGTGGTCGTGATGATTGTGGTGGTGGTGATTGTAGTGGTGGTGATGACGGTTGTTGTTGTTGTGGTGATGATTGTGGTGGTGGTGATGATTGTGGTGAAGGTGATGATTGTGGTGGTCGTGATGATTGTGGTGGTGGTGATTGTAGTGGTGGTGGTGGTGATGATGATGGTGGTGGTTGTGGTGGTGGTGGTGATGGTTGTGGTGATCATTGTGGTGATGGTTATTGTGATGATGGTGGTGGTGATGGTGGTTGTGGTGGTTGTGGTGGTGGTGGTGATGATGGTGGTGGTGATGATTGTGGTGCTGATGGTTGTGGTGGTGGTGATGATTGTGGTGGTGGTGATGGTTGTGGTGGTGTGATGGTGGTGATTGTGGTGGTGGTGATGATGGTAGTGGTTGTGGTGATGGTTGTGGTGGTGATGGTTGTTGTGATGATTGTGGTGGTGGTGATGGTTGGTGGAGGTGGTGACTGGTGGTTGTTGGTGGTGGTGGTTTTGGCTCTTTTGGTGGTGGTGGTTGTGGTTTTGGTGGTTCTGTTGGTTTTGGTTGTGGTGGTTTTGGTGGTGGTGCTGCTTGTGGAGGTGGTTTGGCCAGATAGAGGGGGTCAAACAGACGTGTGGAACGGGCTAGAGAGGAGATGGAGTGATGGGTGAGTGGGTGAGTGATGGGTGAGTGAGTGATGGGTGAGTGACACGGGCTAGAGAAGTGATGGAGTGATGGGTGAGTGAGTGATGGGTTAGTGACACGGGCTAGAGAAGAGATGGAGTGATGGGTGAGTGAGTGGGTGGGTGAGTGACACGGGCTAGAGAAGAGATGGAGTGATGGGTGAGTGAGTGGGTGAGTGAGTGAGTGGGTGAGTGACACGGGCTAGAGAAGAGATGGAGTGATGGGTGAGTGAGTGAGTGAGTGATGGGTGAGTGACACGGGCTAGAGAAGAGATGGAGTGATGGGTGAGTGTGTGGGTGAGTGGGTGGGTGAGTGACACGGGCTAGAGAAGAGGTGGAGTGATGGGTGAGTGAGTGAGTGAGTGATGGGTGAGTGAGTGAGTGATGGGTGAGTGACACGGGCTAGAGAAGAGATGGAGTGATGGGTGAGTGAGTGATGGGTGAGTGACACGGGCTAGAGAAGAGATGGAGTGATGGGTGAGTGAGTGAGTGAGTGATGGGTGAGTGACACGGGCTAGAGAAGAGATGGAGTGATGGGTGAGTGAGTGATGGATGAGTGACACGGGCTAGAGAAGAGATGGAGTGATGGGTGAGTGAATGAGTGAGTGATGGGTGAGTGATGGGTGAGTGACACGGGCTAGAGAAGAGATGGAGTGATGGGTGAGTGAGTGAGTGGGTGATGGGTGAGTGGGTGGGTGAGTGACACGGGCTAGAGAAGAGATGGAGTGATGGGTGAGTGGGTGAGTGATGGGTGAGTGAGTGAGTGATGGGTGAGTGACACGGGCTAGAGAAGAGATGGAGTGATGGGTGAGTGAGTGGATGAGTGGGTGGGTGAGTGGGTGAGTGATGGGTGAGTGACGCGGGCTAGAGAAGAGATGGAGTGATGGGTGAGTAAGTGAGTGAGTGATGGGTGAGTGACACGGGCTAGAGAAGAGATGGAGTGATGGGTGAGTGAGTGATGGGTGAGTGGGTGAGTGAGTGAGTGATGGGTGAGTGACACGGGCTAGAGAGGAGATGGAGTGATGTGGTACAGGAGGACGTGGAGCTGAGTGGACTTGCCGATGACTGGAACCAGTGGTGTCAAGATCGGCCTCTGTGGAGGAGGCTCGTGGCACCTGCTGGGTCTGCCCCGTGACCTCCTCCTCATGCACCTAGCCTGGCACAGCAGCACAACCCATGGCACACTGCAGGGTCTGTCCTGTGACCTCCTCCTCGTGCACCTAGCCTGGTGATGGTGGAGGTGGTGGTGGTGGTGAGTGTTGGTGAGTGTACTGGTGAGTGACTTGGTGAGTGAGTGCCTAGCTAAGTGACTTGGTGAGTGAGTTGGTGAGTGACTTGTGAGTGAGTGACTTGGTGAGTGACTTGGTGGGTGAGTGACTTGGTGAGTGAGTGACTTGGTGAGTGACTTGGTGAGTGAGTGACTTGGTGAGTGAGTGCCTTGGTGAGTGACTTGGTGAGTGACTTGGTGAGTGACTTGGTGAGTGACTTGGTGAGTGACTTGGTGAGTGACTTGGTGAGTGAGTGACTTGGTGAGTGACCTGGTGAGTGACTTGGTGAGTGAGTAACTTGCTGAGTGAGTAACTTGGTGAGTGAGTGACTTGGTGAGTGACTTGGTGAGTGACTTGGTGAGTGACTTGGTGAGTGACTTGGTGAGTGAGTGACTTGGTGAGTGACTTGGTGAGTGACTTGGTGAGTGACTTGGTGAGTGAGTGCCTTGGTAAGTGACTTGGTGAGTGACTTGGTGAGTGACTTGGTGAGTGACTTGGTGAGTGTCTGTGTTGTGCAGGGCTCTGGCATTATCAAGGCCGGCTTTGCTGGAGACCAAATCCCCAAATGTCACTTCCCAAACTAGTGAGTGACACACACACAGTGACACACACAGTGACACACACACAGTGACACACACACAGTGACACACACGGTGACACACACACAGTGACACACACACAGTGACACACACACACACACACAGTGACACACACACAGTGACACACACAGTGACACACACGGTGACACACACACACAGTGACACACACAGTGACACACACACAGTGACACACACACAGTGACACACACAGTGACACACACACACACAGTGACACACACAGTGACACACACACACAGTGACACACACACACACAGTGACACACACACAGTGACACACACAGTGACACACACACACAGTGACACACACACACAGTGACACACACAGTGACACACACAGTGACACACACGGTGACACACACACAGTGACACACACACACACACAGTGACACACAGTGACACACACACACAGTGACACACACACAGTGACACACACACAGTGACACACACACAGTGACACACACACAGTGACACACACACACACACAGTGACACACACACACACAGTGACACACACACACAGTGACACACACACAGTGACACACACAGTGACACACACAGTGACACACACACACAGTGACACACACACACAGTGACACACACGGTGACACACACACACAGTGACACACACAGTGACACACACAGTGACACACACACAGTGACACACACAGTGACACACACACACAGTGACACACACACAGTGACACACACGGTGACACACACACACAGTGACACACACACAGTGACACACACACACAGTGACACACACAGTGACACACACACAGTGACACACACACAGTGACACACACAGTGACACACACACACAGTGACAACAACAACAACAACCGCCATTCGCCACTAAGTGGCGGTGACGTCACCACGACGCTTGTGCCAGGCTATGTGCACCCTGAGGCCACGTGAAGTGTCGAACGCCCGCTGGCAGGAGGTCACGGGGCAGACCCAGGTGCCACGGGTCGACTGACTGAGATGACTGGCTGATGCACCACCTGTGCCCCCTACTGTGCCAACCTGCTGTGCTTTAGCCACCCGGCGCTCCGCTCGCTGTTGTGAGCGTCGCTCCTCCGCCCTCCGTTGTTGTTGGAGGGTGACTGCCTCCAACTGCCCAGTAGCATCCTTCACGAGCCTCCTCCACAGAGGCCGATCTTGACACCGCTGGTACCAGTCATCGGCAAGTCCACTCAGCTCCACGTCCTCCTGTACCACATCACTCCATCTCTTCTCTAGCCCGTGCCGCGCCCGCTTAGCCCCCTCAATCCGGCCAAACAAAAGCTGTTTCGGCATGCGGTGGCTGGGCATGCGGGCTACATGACCCAGCCATCGCAGCCTTGCCTGCCGGAGGAGCTCACCGATGGGACCCTGCCCAGATCTTTCAAGGATTTGTGAGCTCCTCACACAATCCAGTCTGGTTAAACCCAGGATGGATCGTAGGCAGGCCAGCCTAAATGTTTCTAACCGGCGAAGATGTTCCATTAGGGGGGTCCACGTTTCGCAAGCGTAGAGAAGGGAGGGAATGACCGTGGCCGAGAAGACCTGAAGCTTAGTGCGGAGCGACAGACCAGGTAGCTTCCACACAGCGTTACGCAACCGATGAAAAGATATTGCCGCTCGACTGATTCGGAGTGAGACCTCTGCTGTTAAACTGGAGCCAGTCATAAGCACACTGCCCAGGTATGGGAAACTCTCCACTCTCTCCACAACTGCCCCATCACCGATTGGGAGTTGTGGGGGTGGAGTGTCCGATGGTACAAAATACCCAGGCAGGTGCTTAGTTTTGGTGGGGCTGATGGTAAGGCCCCACCTCTTAGTGGCACGCTCCAGTCTCAGCAGCAGCGTCTCCAACTCCTCCTCTGACTGAGCAGCTATTACCAAGTCATCAGCATACATAACGTGGTTGAGCAATAGGGAGCCATCCCTTGACCGCACCCGGGCGTCGATCAGCCTCCCATTATATCTGTACCAAATGGAGATTCCCCCGGTACAGCTATTGAAGGCTTCACGAACTACGTGGTCAAAATAGATGTTAAATAATGTGGGAGCCAGAGGACATCCCTGTCGCACCCCAAGGTGTACAGGGAATGGCTCTGACTCCCGGCCACGTAGTTTTACCCGGGTCCGCTCACCATCATGAAGGTCCTTAATGATCGTGAGCAGAGGGTCAGGTACTCCAAAAGCACGAAGAACGACCCAGAGCCCAGGCCTACTGATGGTATCATAGGCCTTGACCAGGTCAATAAAGCAGAGATGTAGGTCTTGTTGGAATTCCCTACACCTCTGCTGTAGCAGACGGACAGAAAATATGGCATCTGTGCAGGACCGCCCTTTCCTGAAACCGCATTGGGGCTCCGCAAGCCTCTCCTCAGCGTGCCTGGCAAGGCGATGCTGAATAATCCTTGCCAGGACCTTTCCCGGCACACTGAGGAGTGAGATGCCCCTGTAGTTGTTACAGTCTGTGCGGTCCCCCTTCTTAAAAAGGGGGACCACCAGGGCATCCTTCCAATCCTGCGGAACCCGTCCAGTGGTCCAGACTGTTGTTATGATGTCATAAAGGGCAGTCTGTGCACAAACGCCACCCTCCCTCAGCATTTCGCTTGGGAGATCATCTCTGCCCGCTGCCTTTCCTGGTCTCAGACTCCGGATCGCCTTCAATACTTCATCAGCAGCTGGCACCTCAGCCAGCCACTCACAGGGGGTGACTTCATCCAATATTTGAGGCACCGCAGCCTCAGCAGGGTCACCCTCACTTTGTGCCACGATGTTTTCCTGGCTGAGGGATTTTCCCTCCCCCAGGACCTCACAGAAATGCTCAGCAAATCTGCGAACCTGTTCCTGGGGGTCGGAAATTGGATCACCGTTTTTTCCCCTAATGATGGTAATAGGTGTGGCGCTGCAGGTTACTTTTTGTGACACACACAGTGACACACACACACAGTGACACACAGTGACACACACGGTGACACACACACACAGTGACACACACAGTGACACACACACAGTGACACACACAGTGATACACACAGTGACACACACAGTGACACACACGGTGACACAACAACAACAACAACAACAACCGCCATTCGCCACTAAGTGGCGGTGACGTCACCACGACGCTTGTGCCAGGCTATGTGCACCCTGAGGCCACGTGAAGTGTCGAACGCCCGCTGGCAGGAGGTCACGGGGCAGACCCAGGTGCCACGGGTCGACTGACTGAGATGACTGGCTGATGCACCACCTGTGCCCCCTACTGTGCCAACCTGCTGTGCTTTAGCCACCCGGCGCTCCGCTCGCTGTTGTGAGCGTCGCTCCTCCGCCCTCCGTTGTTGTTGGAGGGCGACTGCCTCCAACTGCCCAGTAGCATCCTTCACGAGCCTCCTCCACAGAGGCCGATCTTGACACCGCTGGTACCAGTCATCGGCAAGTCCACTCAGCTCCACGTCTTCCTGTACCACATCACTCCATCTCTTCTCTAGCCCGTGCCGCGCCCGCTTAGCCCCCTCAATCCGGCCAAACAAAAGCTGTTTCGGCATGCGGTGGCTGGGCATGCGGGCTACATGACCCAGCCATCGCAGCCTTGCCTGCCGGAGGAGCTCACCGATGGGACCCTGCCCAGATCTTTCAAGGATTTGTGAGCTCCTCACACAATCCAGTCTGGTTAAACCCAGGATGGATCGTAGGCAGGCCAGCCTAAATGTTTCTAACCGGCGAAGATGTTCCATTAGGGGGGTCCACGTTTCGCAAGCGTAGAGAAGGGAGGGAATGACCGTGGCCGAGAAGACCTGAAGCTTAGTGCGGAGCGACAGACCAGGTAGCTTCCACACAGCGTTACGCAACCGATGAAAAGATATTGCCGCTCGACTGATTCGGAGTGAGACCTCTGCTGTTAAACTGGAGCCAGTCATAAGCACACTGCCCAGGTATGGGAAACTCTCCACTCTCTCCACAACTGCCCCATCACCGATTGGGAGTTGTGGGGGTGGAGTGTCCGATGGTACAAAATACCCAGGCAGGTGCTTAGTTTTGGTGGGGCTGATGGTAAGGCCCCACCTCTTAGTGGCACGCTCCAGTCTCAGCAGCAGCGTCTCCAACTCCTCCTCTGACTGAGCAGCTATTACCAAGTCATCAGCATACATAACGTGGTTGAGCAATAGGGAGCCATCCCTTGACCGCACCCGGGCATCGATTAGCCTCCCATTATATCTGTACCATATGGAGATTCCCCCGGTACAGCTATTGAAGGCTTCACGAACTACGTGGTCAAAATAGATGTTAAATAATGTGGGAGCCAGAGGACATCCCTGTCGCACCCCAAGGTGTACAGGGAATGGCTCTGACTCCCGGCCACGTAGTTTTACCCGGGCCCGCTCACCATCATGAAGGTCCTTAATGATCGTGAGCAGAGGGTCAGGTACTCCAAAAGCACGAAGAACGACCCAGAGCCCAGGCCTACTGATGGTATCATAGGCCTTGACCAGGTCAATAAAGCAGAGATGTAGGTCTTGTTGGAATTCCCTACACCTCTGCTGTAGCAGACGGACAGAAAATATGGCATCTGTGCAGGACCGCCCTTTCCTGAAACCGCATTGGGGCTCCGCAAGCCTCTCCTCAGCGTGCCTGGCAAGGCGATGCTGAATAATCCTTGCCAGGACCTTTCCCGGCACACTGAGGAGTGAGATGCCTCTGTAGTTGTTACAGTCTGTGCGGTCCCCCTTCTTAAAAAGGGGGACCACCAGGGCATCCTTCCAATCCTGCGGAACCCGTCCAGTGGTCCAGACCGTTGTTATGATGTCATATAGGGCAGTCTGTGCACAAACGCCACCCTCCCTCAGCATTTCGCTTGGGAGATCATCTCTGCCCGCTGCCTTTCCTGGTCTCAGACTCCGGATCGCCTTCAATACTTCCTCAGCAGATGGCACCTCAGCCAGCCACTCGCAGGGGGTGACTTCATCCAATATTTGAGGCACCGCAGCCTCAGCAGGGTCATCCTCACTTTGTGCCACGATGTTTTCCTGGCTGAGGGATTTTCCCTCCCCCAGGACCTCACAGAAATGCTCAGCAAATCTGCGAACCTGTTCCTGGGGGTCGGAAATTGGATCACCGTTTTTTCCCCTAATGATGGTAATAGGTGTGGCGCTGCAGGTTACTTTTTTGATGGAGTTAAATAGCGATTTGTGATCACGGGCCACTGAGGCAGACTCCATCTCCTCAGCAACCCGCGACCACCACCCATCCTTGCAGCGCCTCACGGCTCTCCGAACCTCCGAGCGAAGGCTGCGGTAAGCCTCCTCATTCTCTGACGTGGGATTCTGTAGCCGATGACAGTGGGCCTGTCGCTTTTTCTCAACCATCCTGAACAACTCCTCTGTCATCCAGGGTGTCTGGGGAGGTCTGGACCGCGTACCCAAAGTAGCCATTGCAGCTGCATGAGTCACAGTCCTAAACCTCGCCCATTTACCCTCGACATCAGGAGGAGTCGGGGACGATGCCAATCCCAGCCGCAAGCGATGATGAAATTCTCGCTTGCAACTTTCATCAGATAACTGAGACCAGGCCACTTTAGGTTGGAATGGGGTCCTGGGTGTACACCCACCACCGGAGTGGAAGAATGGCAGGCGCATCTTACAGATGACTAGTCGATGGTCAGAGGGCAGATCAGCTCCACGGTAGGTCCTGGTGTCAAGGACATGGGCTCGCATTCGCTGGTCCGTCACTATGTAGTCCAGCAGATGTTCTTGCTTGGACCCGGCATGCATCCATGATGTTGTGTGGATGCGCCGATGCCGGAACAGCGTGTTGGTAATTACAAGCCCATGGGCTGCACAAAAATCTAGCAGCCTCCTACCGTTGTTATTGAGCTGATCTGGCCCATGCCCTCCAATCACTCCAGACCAGGTGCCAGTATCATGACCAACTCGGGCATTGAAGTCACCCAACATGATGACTCTATCCCGAGGGGCCACTTTAGCCAGCACCTGTGACAGGAGGTCATAGAAGGCATCTGACTCATCGGCTTTGCCTGCATCCCTCCACGGATGTTCATCTTCGGTGGGGGCATAAGTAACCACGACCACCATTCCTCGCCTCCGGTTGATGGGAAGGCGAGCCCAAAGTAGCCTGGGGCTTACACACACACACAGTGACACACACAGTGATACACACACACAGCGACACACACACAGTGATACACACAGTGACAGTGACACACACACACACAGTGACACACACACACACAGTGACACACACACAGTGACACACACAGTGACACACACGGTGACACACACACACACAGTGACACACACAGTGACACACACAGTGACACACACACAGTGACACACACACACACACTGACACACACAGTGACACACACAGTGACACACACAGTGACACACGCACAGTGACACACACAGTGACACACACAGTGACACACACACAGTGACACACAGTGACACACACACACAGTGATACACACACACAGTGACACACACACACACAGTGACACACACAGTGACACACAGTGACACACACAGTGACACACACACACACAGTGACACACACACACAGTGACACACACAGTGACACACACACACAGTGACACACACACAGTGTGTGAGGGTCTCTGTGTGTCTCTGTGTGTGTGTGTCTCTCTGTGTGTCTCTGTGTGTCTCTGTGTGTGTGTGAGCGTCTCTGTGTGTCTCTGTGAGTGTCTGTGTGTCTCTGTGTGTGTGTCTCTGTGTGTGAGTGTCTCTGAGTGTCTCTGAGTGTCTCTGTGTGTGAGTTTCTCTGTGTGTGAGTGTCTCTGTGTGTCTCTGAGTGAGTGTCTCTGTGTGTCTTTGTGTGTGAGTGTCTCTGTGTATCTCTGTGTCTCTGTGTGTGTGTGAGTGTCTCTGTGTGTCTCTGTGTGTGAGTCTCTCTGTGTGTCTCTGTGTGTGAGTCTCTCTGTGTGTCTCTGTGTGTCTCTGTGTGTGTGTGAGTGTCTCTGTGTGTCTCTGAGTGTCTCTCTGTGTGGGTCTCTGTGTGTCTCTGTGTGTGTGTGAGTGTCTCTGTGTATCTCTGTGTCTCTGTGTGTGTGTGAGAGTGTCTCTGTGTGTCTCTGTGTGTCTCTGTGTGTGAGTCTCTCTGTGTGTCTCTGTGTGTGAGTGTCTCTGTGTGTCTCTGTGTGTGTGTGAGTGTCTCTGTGTGTCTCTGAGTGTCTCTCTGTGTGGGTCTCTGTGTGTCTCTGTGTGTGTGTGAGTGTCTCTGTGTGTGTGAGTGTCTCTGTGTGTCTCTGTGTGTGAGTGTCTCTGTGTGTGAGTGTCTCTGTGTGTCTCTGTGTGTGTGTGAGTTTCTCTTTGTGTGTGAGTGTCTCTGTGTGTCTCTGTGTGTGTGAGTGTCTCTGTGTGTCTCTGTGTGTCTCTGAGTGTCTGTGTGTGTGTCTCTGTGTGTGTGTCTCTGTGTGTGTGTCTCTGTGTGTCTTTGTGTGTCTCTGAGTGTCTCTCTGTGTGGGTCTCTGTGTGTCTCTGTGGGTGTGTGAGTGTCTCTGTGTGTGTGAGTGTCTCTGTCTCTGTGTCTCTGAGTGTCTCTTTGTGTCTCTGTGTGTGAGTGTCTCTGTGTGTGAGTGTCTCTGTGTGTGTGAGAGTGTCTCTGTGTGTCTCTGAGTGTCTATGTGTGTCTCTGTTTGTGTGTGTGTCTCTGTAGGTGTGTCTCTGTGTGTCTCTGTGTGGGTCTCTGTGTGTCTCTGTGTGGGTCTCTGTGTGTCTCTGTCTGTCTCTGTGTGTGTCTGTGTCTCTGTCTGTCTCTGTGTGTGTGAGTGTTTCTGTGTGTGTCTCTGTGTGTCTCTGTATGTCTCTGTGTGTCTCTGTGAGTCTCTGTGAGTCTCTGTGTGTCTCTGTGTGTCTCTGTGTGTCTCTGTGAGTCTTTGTGTGTCTCTGTGTGTCTCTGTGTGTCTCTAAGTGTCTCTCTGTGTGGGTCTCTGTGTGTCTCTGTGTGTGTGTGAGTGTCTCTGTGTGTGTGAGTGTCTCTGTCTCTGTGTCTCTGAGTGTCTCTGTGTGTGAGTGTCTCTGTGTGTGAGTGTCTCTGTGTGTGAGTGTCTCTGTGTGTGTGAGTGTCTCTGTCTCTGTGTCTCTGAGTGTCTCTGTGTGTCTCTGTGTGTGAGTGTCTCTGTGTGTGAGTGTCTCTGTGTGTGTGAGTGTCTCTGTGTGTGTGAGTGTCTCTGTGAGTCTCTGTGAGTCTCTGTGTGTCTCTGTATGTCTCTGTGTGTCTCTAAGTGTCTCTGTCTGTCTCTGTGTGTCTCTGTGTGTCTCTGAGTGTCTCTGTGTGTCTCTGTGTGTCTCTGAGTGTCTCTGAGTGTCTCTGTGTGTCTCTGTCTGTCTCTGAGTGTCTCTGAGTGTCTCTGTGTGTCTCTGAGTGTCTCTGTGTGTCTCTGAGTGTCTCTGAGTGTCTCTGTGTGTGTGTGAGTGTCTCTGTGTGGGTCTGTGTGTGTGTGTGAGTGTCTCTGTGTGTGTGAGTGTCTCTGTGTGGGTCTCTGTGTGTGTGAGTGTCTCTGTGTGGGTCTCTGTGTGTGTGTGTGAGTGTCTCTGTGTGTCTCTGTGTGTGTGAGTGTCTCTGTGTGTCTCTGTGTGTGTGTGTGAGTGTCTCTGTGTGTCTCTGTGTGTCTCTGAGTGTCTCTGAGTGTCTCTGTGTGTGTGAGTGTCTCTGAGTGTCTCTGTGTGTCTCTGTGTGTCTCTGAGTGTCTCTGAGTGTGTCTCTGTGTGTGTGTCTCTGTGTGTCTCTGAGTGTCTCTGTGTCTCTCTGTGTGTCTCTGTGTGTCTCTGTGTGTGTGAGTGTCTCTGTCTCTGTGTGTGTCTGTGTGTGTCTCTGTGTGTCTCTGTGTGTGTCTGTTTGTGTCTGTGTGTGTGTGAGTGTCTCTGTGTGTGTGAGTGTCTCTGAGTGTGTGAGTGTCTCTGAGTGTCTCTGTGTGTATCTGTGTGTGTGTCTCTGTGTGTGTGTCTCTGTGTGTCTCTGTGTTTGAGTGTCTCTGTGTGTCTCTGTGTCTCACTCAGCGTGGGACGCCCCAAGCATGTCCGTGTCATGGCAGGAGCTCTGGAGGGAGACATCTTCATTGGACCTAAAGCTGAGGTCTGTCTCACTCTATCTCACTCTGTGTCTCACTGTGTCTCAGTGTGTCTCACTCTGTCTCACTCTGTCTCACTGTCTCAGTGTGTCTCACATTGTCTCACTCTGTGTCTCACTGTGTCTCAGTGTGTCTCACTCTGTCTCACTCTGTCTCACTGTCTCACTGTGTCTCAGTGTGTCTCACTCTGTCTCACTCTGTCTCAGTGTGTCTCACTCTGTCTCACTCTGTCTCACTGTCTCACTGTGTCTCAGTGTGTCTCACTCTGTCTCAGTGTGTCTCACTGTGTCTCACTGTGTCTCACTCTGTCTCACTCTGTCTCACTGTGTCTCAGTGTGTCTCACTCTGTCTCACTCTGTCTCACTGTCTCAGTGTGTCTCACTCTGTCTCACTCTGTCTCACTGTCTCTCACTCTGTCTCACTGTGTCTCACTCTGTCTCAGTGTGTCTCAGTGTGTCTCACTCTGTCTCAGTGTGTCTCACTCTGTCTCAGTGTGTCTCAGTGTGTCTCACTCTGTCTCACTCTGTCTCACTCTGTCTCACTGTCTCAGTGTGTCTCACTGTGTCTCACTCTGTCTCACTGTCTCAGTGTGTCTCACTCTGTCTCACTCTGTCTCACTGTCTCAGTGTGTCTCACTGTGTCTCAGTGTGTCTCACTGTGTCTCACTCTGTCTCAGTGTGTCTCACTCTGTCTCACTGTGTCTCACTGTGTCTCACTGTGTCTCACTCTGTCTCACTGTGTCTCAGTGTGTCTCACTGTGTCTCACTGTGTCTCACACTGTCTCACTCTGTCTCACACTGTCTCACTCTGTCTCAGTGTGTCTCAGTGCGTCTCACTGTGTCTCAGTGTGTCTCACTGTGTCTCAGTGTGTCTCACTGTGTCTCAGTGTGTCTCAGTGTGTCTCACTGTGTCTCAGTGTGTCTCACTGTGTCTCACTGTGTCTCCATGTCTCACTGTCTCAGTGTGTCTCACTCTGTCTCAGTGTGTCTCACTGTGTCTCACTGTGTCTCACTCTGTCTCAGTGTGTCTCAGTGTGTCTCACTGTGTCTCAATCTGTCTCAGTGTGTCTCAGTGTGTCTCACTGTGTCTCAGTGTGTCTCACTCTGTCTCAGTGTGTCTCACTGTGTCTCACTCTGTCTCACTCTGTCTCAGTGTGTCTCAGTGTGTCTCAGTGTGTCTCACTGTGTCTCACTCTGTCTCACTCTGTCTCACTGTGTCTCAGTGTGTCTCACTCTGTCTCAGTGTGTCTCACTGTGTCTCACTGTGTCTCACTCTGTCTCACTGTGTCTCACTGTGTCTCACTCTGTCTCAGTGTGTCTCACTGTGTCTCAGTGTGTCTCAGTGTGTCTCACTGTGTCTCAGTGTGTCTCAGTGTGTCTCACTCTGTCTCAGTGTGTCTAATGTGTCTCAGTGTGTCTCAGTGTGTCTCACTCTGTCTCACTCTGTCTCAGTGTGTCTCACTGTGTCTCACTGTGTCTCAGTGTGTCTCACTGTGTCTCACTCTGTCTCACTGTCTCACTGTGTCTCAGTGTGTCTCAGTGTGTCTCACTGTGTCTCACTGTGTCTCAGTGTGTCTCAGTGTGTCTCACTGTGTCTCAGTGTGTCTCAGTGTGTCTCACTGTGTCTCACTGTGTCTCACTGTGTCTCAGTGTGTCTCACTCTGTCTCACTGTGTCTCACTCTGTCTCACTGTGTCTCACTCTGTCTCAGTGTGTCTCACTCTGTCTCAGTGTGTCTCACTCTTTCTCACTGTGTCTCACTGTGTCTGACTCTGTCTCACTGTGTCTCACTCTGTCTCACTGTGTCTCACTCTGTCTCAGTGTGTCTCAGTGTGTCTCACTGTGTCTCACTGTGTCTCACTGTGTCTCAGTGTGTCTCACTGTGTCTCACTGTGTCTCAGTGTGTCTCACTCTGTCTCACTGTGTCTCAGTGTGTCTCACTGTGTCTCAGTGTGTCTCACTGTCTCACTGTGTCTCACTGTGTCTCACTCTGTCTCACTGTGTCTCACTCTTTCTCACTCTGTCTCACTGTGTCTCAGTGTGTCTCACTCTGTCTCACTCTGTCTCACTCTGTCTCACTGTGTCTCAGTGTGTCTCACTGTGTCTCAGTGTGTCTCAGTGTGTCTCACTCTGTCTCACTGTGTCTCAGTGTGTCTCACTCTGTCTCAGTGTGTCTCACTCTGTCTCACTGTGTCTCAGTGTGTCTCAGTGTGTCTCACTGTGTCTCACTGTGTCTCAGTGTCTCTCACTGTGTCTCACTGTGTCTCACTCTGTCTCACTGTGTCTCAGTGTGTCTCAGTGTGTCTCACTCTGTCTCACTGTGTCTCACTGTGTCTCACTGTCTCACACTGTCTCAGTGTGTCTCACTCTGTCTCACTGTGTCTCAGTGTGTCTCACTCTGTCTCAGTGTGTCTCACTCTGTCTCACTGTGTCTCACTGTGTCTCAGTGTGTCTCGGTGTGTCTCACTCTGTCTCACTCCTTCTCACTGTGTCTCACTGTGTCTCCCTGTGTCTCACTGTGTCTCGGTGTGTCTCACTGTGTCTCACTGTGTCTCAGTGTGTCTCACTCTGTCTCAGTGTGTCTCACTCTGTGTCTCACTGTGTCTCACTGTCTCACTGTGTCTCAGTGTGTCTCACTCTGTCTCACTGTGTCTCAGTGTGTCTCACTCTGTCTCACTCTGTCTCACTGTGTCTCACTCTGTCTCACTCTGTCTCACTGTGTGTCTCACTGTGTCTCACTGTGTCTCACTGTGTCTCACTCTGTCTCACTGTGTCTCACTGTGTCTCACTGTCTCACTGTGTCTCAGTGTGTCTCACTCTGTCTCACTCTGTCTCACTGTGTCTCACTGTGTCTCACTGTGTCTCAGTGTGTCTCACTCTGTCTCACTGTGTCTCAGTGTGTCTCAGTGTGTCTCACTCTGTCTCACTGTGTCTCACTGTGTCTCAGTGTGTCTCACTCTGTCTCACTCTGTCTCAGTGTGTCTCACTCTGTCTCACTCTGTCTCACTGTGTCTCACTGTGTCTCACTCTGTCTCAGTGTGTCTCAGTGTGTCTCAGTGTGTCTCACTGTGTCTCACTGTGTCTCAGTGTGTCTCACTCTGTCTCACTCTGTCTCAGTGTGTCTCACTCTGTCTCACTCTGTCTCACTGTGTCTCACTCTGTCTCAGTGTGTCTCAGTGTGTCTCAGTGTGTCTCACTGTGTCTCACTGTGTCTCAGTGTGTCTCACTCTGTCTCACTCTGTCTCAGTGTGTCTCACTCTGTCTCACTCTGTCTCACTGTGTCTCACTCTGTCTCAGTGTGTCTCAGTGTGTCTCACTGTGTCTCACTCTGTCTCAGTGTGTCTCACTGTGTCTCACTGTGTCTCAGTGTGTCTCACTGTGTCTCAGTGTGTCTCACTTTGTCTCACTCTGTCTCACTCTGTCTCACTCTGTCTCAGTGTGTCTCACTCTGTCTCACTGTCTCAGTGTGTCTCACTGTGTCTCACTGTGTCTCACTCTGTCTCACTCTGTCTCACTCTGTCTCACTGTGTCTCTACTGTGTCTCACTGTGTCTCACTGTGTCTCACTCTGTCTCAGTGTGTCTCACTGTGTCTCAGTGTGTCTCAGTGTGTCTCACTGTGTCTCAGTGTGTCTCACTCTGTCTCACTCTGTCTCAGTGTGTCTAATGTGTCTCAGTGTGTCTCAGTGTGTCTCACTCTGTCTCACTCTGTCTCAGTGTGTCTCACTGTGTCTCACTGTGTCTCAGTGTGTCTCACTGTGTCTCACTCTGTCTCACTGTGTCTCACTGTGTCTCAGTGTGTCTCAGTGTGTCTCACTGTGTCTCACTCTGTCTCAGTGTGTCTCACTGTGTCTCAGTGTGTCTCAGTGTGTCTCACTGTGTCTCAGTGTGTCTCAGTGTGTCTCACTGTGTCTCACTGTGTCTCAGTGTGTCTCACTCTGTCTCACTGTGTCTCACTCTGTCTCACTGTGTCTCACTCTGTCTCAGTGTGTCTCACTCTGTCTCAGTGTGTCTCACTCTTTCTCACTGTGTCTCACTGTGTCTGACTCTGTCTCACTGTGTCTCACTCTGTCTCACTGTGTCTCACTCTGTCTCAGTGTGTCTCAGTGTGTCTCACTGTGTCTCACTGTGTCTCACTGTGTCTCAGTGTGTCTCACTGTGTCTCACTGTGTCTCAGTGTGTCTCACTCTGTCTCACTGTGTCTCAGTGTGTCTCACTGTGTCTCAGTGTGTCTCACTGTCTCACTGTGTCTCACTGTGTCTCACTCTGTCTCACTGTGTCTCACTCTGTCTCACTCTGTCTCACTGTGTCTCAGTGTGTCTCACTCTGTCTCACTCTGTCTCACTCTGTCTCACTGTGTCTCAGTGTGTCTCACTGTGTCTCAGTGTGTCTCAGTGTGTCTCACTCTGTCTCACTGTGTCTCAGTGTGTCTCACTCTGTCTCAGTGTGTCTCACTCTGTCTCACTGTGTCTCAGTGTGTCTCAGTGTGTCTCACTGTGTCTCACTGTGTCTCAGTGTCTCTCACTGTGTCTCACTCTGTCTCACTGTGTCTCAGTGTGTCTCAGTGTGTCTCACTCTGTCTCACTGTGTCTCACTGTGTCTCACTGTCTCACACTGTCTCAGTGTGTCTCACTCTGTCTCACTGTGTCTCAGTGTGTCTCACTCTGTCTCAGTGTGTCTCACTCTGTCTCACTGTGTCTCACTGTGTCTCAGTGTGTCTCACTGTCTCACTGTGTCTCACTCTGTCTCACTCTGTCTCAGTGTGTCTCACTCTGTCTCAGTGTGTCTCACTCTGTCTCACTGTGTCTCACTGTGTCTCAGTGTGTCTCGGTGTGTCTCACTCTGTCTCACTCCTTCTCACTGTGTCTCACTGTGTCTCCCTGTGTCTCACTGTGTCTCGGTGTGTCTCACTGTGTCTCACTGTGTCTCAGTGTGTCTCACTCTGTCTCAGTGTGTCTCACTCTGTGTCTCACTGTGTCTCACTGTCTCACTGTGTCTCAGTGTGTCTCACTCTGTCTCACTGTGTCTCAGTGTGTCTCACTCTGTCTCACTCTGTCTCACTGTGTCTCACTCTGTCTCACTCTGTCTCACTGTGTGTCTCACTGTGTCTCACTGTGTCTCACTGTGTCTCACTCTGTCTCACTGTGTCTCACTGTGTCTCACTGTCTCACTGTGTCTCAGTGTGTCTCACTCTGTCTCACTGTGTCTCACTGTGTCTCACTGTGTCTCACTGTGTCTCACTGTGTCTCACTCTGTCTCACTGTGTCTCAGTGTGTCTCAGTG